GCATTTGCATGCTTTCGAACCGCTAGGTTGGCGGGAGCTGGGACAAGCGACGGGAGCTCACTCCGTTGCGTGGATTCGATCCTATGACTGCTTGGTCTTCTGATGCTGCAGTACAGGCTGCTGCGGTTTAGCCCGCAGCGCCACCACGTCCCCCGTCTATATTAAAGGAGATGATATGAAGAACCCAAAAGAATTCTGGAAATTTAGATCAAGAATGAATTAGCAAAGCAGCCTGGCTGCTGTTCTTAGTGCCATCGTGCCATTTCCGACATACCTGGACAGCTCAGTTAGTTGGCCATCCAGCTATGCTGCTAGAGTTTTGGATTTTGCTTCCCCACAATGCCTCTGAAGGGAAAAGCCTGCCTGTGAAGCCTTGGGCAAGCTGCTCACTCCCGGAAAGCCTCTAGAAAAATGGAATGGTAACCTACTTCTGAGTACACTTATTTTTGTGTTCTTCCGTATTATAAATGACATGGATATGGGTGCAGACAGGATACTAATCAAATATGGCGATGACACCAAACTTGGAAGGTTAGTTAATACTTTAGGAGACAGAATCTGAATTCAAGACGATCTTGCTCGATTGGGGAACTGGACTGGAAGTAAATATAAAAGAGTTTTAGGCCAAATGGGCGGGGCATAAATCAAATCAAATCAAATCAAATCAAATCAAATCAAATCAAATCAATCAATCAATCAATCAATCAATCAATCAATCAATCAACCAACCAACCAACCAACCAACCAACCAACCAACCAACCAACCAATAAATAAATAAACAAGGGAAAAAATTCCAACCTGCATTAGTTGGGAAAAAATGAGCTGTAGAAATATAGGAGACTATATAGGATAGGAGCTTCATGGTGCACAGGTTAAGTTGCAGTATTGCAGCCAAAATTCTTCTCAAAACCCGGGTTCAATCCCAGGTAGCCGGCTCAAGGTTCACTCAGCCTTCCATGGCTGGTAAATTGAATACCCAGCTCACTGGGGGAGGAGGATGCATCATTAAACTGTACACTGTCAAGAGAGTGCTTTAAGTGGTATATAAGCAGCATACTTTGCTTTAACTGGCTCGGCTGCTGTAGACGTGAAAAGCATTTAGGCGTCTTAGTAAACCAGAAGCTAAACATGAGTCAACAGTGTGACGTGGCAGTGAAAAAAAACAACCAATGACAGAATTATTCTATTCTGCTTAAGTGAGTCCACCCATGAAATATCAAGTTCTCTGCACCAGAATTTTAAAAAGAATGTAAGTTGGACCGTGTCCAGAGCAGAATGACCAAGAGGTCTAGAAAGCGAGTCCTATGAAGAATGACTGAGGGAATTATTTCACCTACTGAAGGGAAGACCAACTTGATGGCTGTGTTCAAAGAGGTGAAGGGTTGCCATGAAGAAGACGGAACCACCTGTTTTCTCAAGACCAGGAAGGCAGAACTTGAAGTAATGACTCCAAATGACAAGACAGTTCATTTCAAATACAGTGTTGCCTCGCTAGACAGTTACCCTGCATGACAATTTTTTCCACTAGACATT